TGAGCCACTACGCCTGGCCCTGTTGTTTCTTAGTTGACTTTTTGTCTGGGAGATCTGTTTATTGTTGAAAGTGGGCCATTGAAGTCTCTAGGTATTATTGTATTGGAATCTATCTTTTTTGTTCTAAAATTTCCTTTATATATCTGGGTGCTCCAGTGTTAGGTGCATACATATTTATAATCATTATGCCCCGTTGCTGAATTGACCTCTTTTTTGTTACACAGGGACTTGTTTGTCTCTCATAGCTTTTGTTTTGAAATCTATTTTGTCTGATATAAGTATAGTTACAAGTTTTTTTGTTTTTTTGTTTTTTTTTTGGTTTGTTTTTGGTTTCCACTAGCATGGAATATATTTTTCTATTCCTTTATTTTTAGCCTATGTATGTTTTTATAGGTGAAGTGTGTTTCTTGTAGACAACAGATCATTGTTTTTGTTTTTTTTTTATTATTCATTCAGGAACTCTATGTCTTTTGATTGGAGATTTTAGTTCATTTACGTTCAATGTAATTACTGAAAAATAAGTACTTAGTCTTGCTATTTTATTATTTGTTTTCTTGTGGTATTCTCATTCTTCTTTTCTTCCTACCTGTCTTACTTGTAGTGAAAGTGATTTTCTCTGGTGGTACAATTTAATTACTTGTTTTTATTTTATGTGTATCCATTGTATGGTTTTTTTACTTGAAGTTACCACAAGGCTTGCAAATACTATCTTAAAAACTATTATTTTAGCTAATTACAACTTAACACTGTTTCCATAATTAAACTAATAAGCAAAATGGAAACTAATAAAAACTCTACACATTAACTTCATCCTTGCACTTTTTAAACTTTTTGTTGTTTTCATCTTCTTATATTAACCATGTCTTGAAAAGTTGTAGATATTATTTTTGATTGGTTCATCATTTATTCTATTTAAGAATATTTTATACATCACAGTTATAGTGTATAATATTCTGTTTCTCTGAATACTACTATTACCAGTTATTTTTGTACCCTCTGATAATTTCTTATTGCTCATTAACATCCTTTTCTTTCTGATTAAAGCACTCTCCTTAGCATTTCTTGTAGGACAGGACTGGTATTGATGAAACCCTTCAAATTTTGTTTGTCAGGGAAAGTCTTTATTTCTCCTTCATGTTTGAAGGCTAATTTTGCCAGATACACTATTCTGAGGTAAAAGTTTTTTTTTTTCCTTCTGCACTTTAAATATGTTATGCTACTCTGTACTGGCCTGTAAAATTACCACTAAAAAGTCTGTTCCCAGATGTATTGGAGATTCATCATATATTATTTGTTTCTTTCCTCTTGCTGCTTGTAGGATCCTTTCTTTGTTCTTGACCTTTGGGATTTTGACTATTTTATTAGTCTATTTTCACATTGCTATAAAGATACCACCTGAGATTGGGTCATTTATAAAGAAAAAAGTTTAATTGACTCACAGTTCTGCATGGTTGAGGAGGCCTCAAGAAACCTGTAATCATGGTGGAAGCAGAAGAGGCACGTTTTATATGGCAGCAGGTGGGAAAGACTGTGAAAGCAGGGGAAATGCCAGATGCTCATAAAACCATCAGATCTCATGAGAAGTCACTATCATAAGAACAGCATGGGGGAACCATCCCCTTAATCCAATCACCTCTCACCAGGTCCCTCTCTCAACATGCGTGGATTATGGGGATTACAATTCAAGATGAGATTTGGTGAAGACATAGCCAAACCATAACAATTATTAAATACCTTGAGGTAGTCTTCTTTGGGTTGCATCTGCTTGGTGTTCTATAATTTTCTTGTATTTGGATATTAATATCTTTCTCTGGGTTTGAATAAACTTTACCTTTGTAATTATCATTTTAAATGAGCTTTCTAACTCTTTTTCTCTGCTGCCCCTTTAAGACCAATAGTGAGGGAATGTGTTCTCTTTCCAGGCCCATGAGTGGGTGCAGTTTTAAGGGCAAGAATTTCCCAGCACCATGCCCCCCTCCCATCTTTCTCCATCTGGGAGACTTAACGGTTTATGTTTGAATTTTGCAGGTGCAGGAAGAAACTAAAGGTCAGTCACTCCAGCGGAAGTTTTAAGGAGCTGCTTTCATTGGCCAGAGGAACTTGGGAAGGTGGGAATTTCTCCCAGGATAAATTCCCCTGCTCCTTCACCCACAGCGGATTTCCAGCTTTCTGGAATCCCCTCACACATGGTGGGAGCTCCCTCTGGGATTTCCCCTCTGGAATCCCCTTCCACACTCTTTGTGAAACCCTTTCTCTTCTTCTCCTTTCCTTTTCTTTTCCCTACCTAAATAAAATCATCTTTCTGCAACACTTCTCAGGTCTGATATTTACTTTCATGAGCATACGGTGCATGTGCAGTGGCCCCGCCACTTATTCTTTAAGAGGTTGGAGGCCAAGAACCCACAGCATTCCCTTGAGGAAGCTGTGCCTCACTGGCACTCAAGAAAAAACCTGGTAACAATAGCACTTAATTTCCCCTTTTTAGGCTACTTTTTAGATCTTGTATGTGTGGTACATTCCTTTTTACTCTCTTTTCTTTTGACTCCTGTCACTGTATATTTTCTAATAGCTATCTTTAAGCTCACTAATTCTCTTTTCTGCTTGATCAATGCTGCTATTAAAAGTCTCTGATGCAAAGAGCTTGCTTGGTGCTCCAGCCCACTGTGGCAAGCTGTTACCTAAAGTTCAAGAAAAAGTTTCTTTTACTTTACCTTCTGCTATTCCAAAGCATAAGGGGTCTCTCAATGTAACCACCATACCTGAGAATGTGTGGAGCCTCACTTGTAGTCAGCAAGTCTCACCCAAGTCCCACAGCATACCACCTGGTTATCACTGCTTGTTATAACTATGGTTATTCAAAGACCAAAGGTTCTTTAGTCAGCAGGTGATGGGTGCTCCCAGGACTGGGCCCTTCCCTTAAGACAGTAGGTTTCCTTCTGTCCTAGGCTGTGTCTAGAAATGTCACCTGGAAGCTAGGGCTTGGAAAGGGTGTCTTAAGACTCTGTTTCCCTATGCTACTGTTGCTAAGGAGGAATCCACAATGCAAGACAAAGATCTCTTTACTCTTTTCTCTCAAGTAAAAGTAAGGAGTCTCTTTTGGAGCAGCAAGATGTGCAGCCTGGAGTTCAGGGAGGAGCAGCAAACCACTCCCTTAGCTTCCTCAGCTGGTGTCTCAGTAGGTTGTGTGGCCCCATCACCATCCACTGGTTTTGAGCCAAGTTCAGCACTGAGAACCACCTAGGGAAGTCTTTGTGGCCTAGACTGCCTTTCAAATGTGTTTAGAACCCCAGAGCCCTTTAGCTCATGGTGCTGAGGCTTGCCGGAACTCAAGTTTCAACCACTGTGATGGGCACTTCCCCTCCCTTCTGGCTAGGGCTGGTTTAAATATTCCCTCTGTGGGTGAGCATCAGCTGCGTTCAGCCCAGTTTGGCTTTCTACTGTGACAACAACTGCTAAGTTCTATGTAATGTCTGTCATTTGCTGCTTTCTCCATCTTCTAAGCATAGAGAATCTCTCTTCATACGACTGGCCACCGTAGGAGATGAGGGAGTAGTGGCATTGGTGATTCAAGATTGTCTGCTGCCCTCCTTGGTGCCTCCTTCAGCTATATGAAGTTAAAACCAGGTACTGTGAGTACTCACCTGATTTTTGTTTTTTTATGAAGGTGTGTGTTTGTGTGTGTGTGTGTAGATAGTTGTTAAATTGGTGTCCTTGCAGAGGGAACGATCAGTGGAACATTATATTTGGCCATCTTGCTACACCCCTCCTCCATCATTCCAGATTGTTTTTTATCACACTTGTGGAAATTCTATAAGTATTCTGGATATGTTATTTATTGGAATATGCATGTGTTTGTGTGTGTATGTGTGCATATGTATACACACACACACACACACACACACATAAGTAAATTACCATATGTGTGTGTGTATGTGTGTGTGTGTGTGTATAAAATAAATACTCTCTCCCAGTCTCAGGGATGCTATTTTACTCTATTAATGATGTATTTTGATGAACATAAACTCCAAATATTAATGAAGTTATATTTATTAATCATTTGTTTGATGATGAATTCTTCACTCCTTTTCTGCTTAACAACTGTTTTTATAATTATAAAAATAACTTCTTAAGTTTTAAAATTAATTTTTATTGTTTTAACAACAACTTTGACCTAGAATGCTATTGTAACATCTTGTGCAGGTGTACGTAAAATCATCTGACCTCATCTATTTGTCCAATGACAATTCCATTGGACAAATTTTAATTAGAAGCTGTGCTGTACAAGATGTAGGATTTTAATTTTAAAAATTTACTCAGATTCTTTTATAATTTAAGGCAAAATCAAGAAACTTCTTAAATCAAATAACTTCCTGTGTAAATATAGAAAAAGGTTAAGTAAATATTGACTCTGAGATCAATGAAAGCTTCAAAGATGTGCTGATACTTGAGTTTGAAATAGAAGGATGATACATAATGACAAAAAGAGCATAATAATACTTAAGTACATTTAAAGCAAGGAAGTAATTAGGGCACTTTAGGAAATGTAGGTTACTAGGGGGATGTTGAGAGATAAAGATCAAAAGATAATTTGAACAACCACAAAGACCATGTCAAAGAATCTGGAGTTTATTCTTTTGGCAATAAGTGGAATTGAAGTTATTCATGTCTGGGAATGAAATTATTTTAGTCATGTTTTTAAAAAGTAACACAGGAGAGAATAAGATGTAAAAATTGAAGACATCTATCAAACAGTCTAATTGAGTGACCTGGACTAGGATAGAACCAGTGGGAATGGAAAGCAGACAGAAAAGTGGTACTGATTTAAATAATACATACTCGTTAAGTAAAAATTACATTTAACTGACTTTGGAGACTAAGTGGATATATGAGCTATGGTAAAAGAGATGTTTAGAGACAGTGTTATTCAGAGATGGATAATGTGGAAGCTAAATAAAGGAAGTTAGAATGCTTTACTCTTACAAACTAAAGAATAAAAAAACAAGGCTTCATTGGAAGTGCAGAAGGGTTCCTTGTGAACAGAAGCTGAACATGGGTCAGTTGGTCCTGAGAGATGGGCGAACACCTGCATCCATGAAGAACTCTGTGATTGCTCTTCTCTGTATGCCAGATCTCTGTCACTTAACTGGAAAACTTAAATGGAATGAGAATAATGGGATCCTGGGGTGGCAGCACTCAACCATCAAAGCAAGGTGAGTATAGTTACCATAATAGACAGTAGAGGCAAAGCAGCAATCAGACTAGTCTGACTCATGCAGAGCTCTGGCATTGGCTAATTAATCACAATGTTCCTAGAAGTGAAATTGATAGGAAGCCCACTGCATTCTTACTTAATTTGTGTAAACAGAAAACTTTCAGGTCAAGTAGACTAAAGACTAATTCGAATGATAAAAAAGAGACTCATGGCCACTCAATTTCCAGACTTGAAAGTTTACAGACCCCAAACTCCATGAATGAAGGGGAGTCCCAGGTACCTTGAGGAAGGGCCCCATTATACTACTGACAATTTATACTGTTAATCTTTCTCTCATCCTTCTCCAAGGACACCTCTGGCCATTTACAGGGGTAACCGTGTGGGAAAGGCCAAATTGAAGGCATTAGAGATGCCTCTACCTAGAGAAATGGTAAATCAAAAACAGTATCTCATTCCTGGAGAGACTGCAGAGTTTAGTGTCACTATCAATGACTTGAAAGATGCGGGAGTGGTGATTCCCACTGTATCCCTGTTCAACTCTCCTATTTGTCCTGTGAAGAGGACAGATAGATCTTGAAGAATGACAGTGGACTATCATAAGCTTAACCAAATGGTGACTCCAATTGACTACAATCTCCTAGTAACTGGTATGCAGCCATTGGCTTCTTCTCCATTTCTGTCCATAAGGCTCACCAGAAGCAATTTGCATTCAGTTGGCAAGGCCAGCAATATACCTTCACTGTCCTACCTCAAGGGTATATCAGTTCTTCAGCTTTGTGTCACAGTCTTGTTTGCAGAGATCTTTACCACTTTTCCTTTCCACAAGATATCATACTGGTCCATTACATTGATAACATTATGCTGATTGGACTCAGTGAGCAAGAAGTAGAAAATACACTGGACTCATTGATGAGACATTAACATGTCAGGGACAGGAAATAAGTCCAATTAAAATTCAGAAGCCTTCTACCTCAGTGAAAATTTTAGCAGTCCAGTGGTGTGAGACCTGTTGAGATATTCCTTCTAAGGTGAAGAATAAGTTTTTATTTTTAGCCCCTCCTACAACCAAGAAAGAGACACAATGTCTAGTGGGCCTATTTGGATTTTGGAGGCAACACATTCTTCATTTGGGTGTGTTACTCCAGCTCATTTATCAAGTGACCCAAAGGGCTGCCAGTTTTAAAAGGGATCCAGAAAAGAAGACTCTGCAACAGGTCCAGGCTGCTATGCAAGCTGCTCTGCTACTGGGGCCATATGATCTAGCAGATTCAATGTTGCTTGAGGTGTCAGTGGCAGATAGGGATGTTATTTGGAGCCTTTGGCAGGCCCCAATGGTGAATGACAGCAGAGGCCTCTAGGATTTTGGAGCAAGTCCCTGCCATCTTCTGCAGATAACTACCCTCCTTTGAGAGACAGCTCTTGGTCTGTTTACTGGACTTTGGCAGAAACTCAACATTTGCCTATGGGTCATCAAGTTACCATGTGACTTGAACTGCCTATCATGTACTGGGTGCCTTCTGACCCATCTAACCATAAAGTTGGGCATGCACAGCAACATTTCTTCATCAAGTAAAAGTGTATATATATGATCGGGCTTGAGTAGGTCCTAAAGGCACAGGTAAGTTACATGAGGAATTGGCTGAAAAGCCCATGGTCCTCACTCCTGTTATCCTGCCTTCTCTTCCCCAGCCTGCACCGATGGCCTCATAGGGAGTTCCCTACGATCACTTGACAGAGAAAGAGAAGACTAGGGTCTGGCTTACAGATGGCTCTGCACAATATGCAGACACCACATGAAAGTGGACAACTACAGCACTACACCCCCTTTCTAGGACATCCCTGAAGGACAGCAGTGAAGGTAAATTTTCCCACTGGGCAGAACTTTGAGCAGTGCACTTGGTTGAGTACTTTCCTTGGAAGGATAAATGGCTAGATGTGTGATTATATGCTGGTTCATGGGTTGTAGCCAATGGTTTGGCTGGATGATCAGGGACTTGGAAGAAGCATGATTGGAAAACTGGTGACAAAGAAATGTGGAGAAGAGGTGTATGGGTAGACCTCTCTGAGTGATTAAAAACTAAAGACATTTTTATACCACATGAATACTCACCAAAAGGTGACCTCAGCAGAGGAGGATTTTAATAATCAAGTGAATAGGATGATTTGTTCTGTGGACGCCACTCAGCCTCTTTTTCTAGCCATCCTGCCATCACCCAATGGGCCCATGAACAAAGTGGCTATGGTGGCAGTGATAGAGGTTACACATGGGCTCAGTAACATGGACTTCTACTCACTAAGGCTAACCTGGCTACAGCCACCACTGAGTGCCCAATCTGCCAGCAGCAGAGACCAACACTGATCCCTAGATATGGCACCATTCCTTGGGGTGATCAGCCAGCTACTTGGTGGCATGTTGATTATATTGGACTGCTTCCATCATGGAAAGGGCAGTGGCTTGTCCTCACCAGAATAGACATTTACTTCAAACAGGGTTTACTTATCTTGCATGCAACGCTTCTGCCACAACTACCAGAATATCTTATTGACTGTCATGGTATTCCATCGAACATTGCCTCTGACCAAGGCATTCACTTTACAGCAAAAAAATGTAGCAGTGGGGTCATGCTTATGGAATTCTCTAGTCTTACCATGTTACTCCTGAAGCAGCTGGATTGATAGAACAGTGGAATGGCCTTTGAAGTCACAATTACAATGCCAACTAGGTGACAATACTTTGCAGGGCTGGGGCAAAGTTCTCCAGAAGGTTGTGTATACTCTGAATCGATGTTCAATATATGGTACTGTTTCTCCCATAGCCAGGATTCACAGGTACAGGAATCAAAAGGTGGAACTGGAATTGGCACTACTCACCATCACTCTTAGTGCCCCATTAGCAAAATTTTTGCTTTCTTTCCCCATGACATTACATTCCACTGGCCTAGAGGTCTTAGTTCCAGAAGGAGGAATGGTGACAGCAGGAGAAATAATGATTCCATTAAACTGGTAGTTGAGATTGCCACCTGGTAACTTTGGGCTCCTCCTACCTCCAAGTCAACAGGTTAAGAAGGAAGTTGTAGTGTTGGCTGAGTTGGCTAACCTGGACTATCAAGATGGAATCAGTCTGCTACCCCACAATGGAGGTGGGGACCAGTATGTGGAGAATACAGGAGATGCCTGAGGGTCTCTTGGTATTACCATGGCCTGTGATTAAAGTCAGTGGAAAATTACAACAACGTAATCCAGTCAGGACTACAAATGGCCCAGACCCTTCAGGAACGAAGGTTTGAGTCACTCTACCAGGTTAAAAACCATGACCCTCTGGGGTGCTTCCTGGAGGACAGCTAGTAGAAGTTTATCATCAATACCAGCTATGACTACATGACTAGTTGCAAAAACAAAGACTGTAATTGTCATGAGAATTTCCTCCTTATTTTGTTAAGAACATGTTTTTGCCTGTATACACATGTACTACGAAAATATCTTTATTTTATTTCCTTTTTCCTTTATCATGTGACATGAGATTTACTGGCTTCATATCAGCATTTAGAGTTGTTAACTTAATGTAATAGCATTAAGGTTAAGGCTTAGTCCCCTTCAGTTGTATGAAGGATATTTAGCTGTATTATGTTAGGTGTAATTATAACCTTATTATTGTATTTATTTGGAGATAAATCATCATTTCAGGAAATGTGTATGGGTTCAAGCTGACAAGCGGTGAACTTGTGATGTTTAATATTAAATGACAATTTGATTGGATAGGAGGATGCAAAGTGTTGTTTCTGGGTGTTACCAGAAGAGATTAACATTGAGTCAGTGGACTGGGAGAGGAAGACCCACCCTCATAAAGACCCACACACAATGTGGGTGGGCAGTGCTCCAAACAACTGCCAATAGGCAGAAGAAGGTGGACGAAGCTGACTTGCTGAGTCTTCAAGACTTCATCTTGCCTCCTGTGCTGTATGCTTCCTGCCGTTGAACATCAGACTCCAAATTCTTCAGCTTTTAGACTCTTGGACTTACACCAGTGGTTTGCTGGGGACTCTTGGGTGTTTGGCCACAGTCCGAAGAAAGCCACCACTGGCTTTCTTTTTCCTTAACTTGTACATAGCCTATCTTGTGACTTTACCTTGTGATCAAGTGAGTCAATTCTCCTTAATAAATAACCTTTCATATATACATATATGCTTTTATTCTGTCCCTCTAATTAGTCCCCGACTAATACACAAGGTAAGATTTAATTGAAAACTTGAAATCTGTGTTTTCTGTAACAATGACTACCATTTATTCATAAAACACAGGCTTTTTGCTTACAGGATATAAAGCCATTAAGTCTTCACAAAATAACTATGAGTGTGACATTAGTATTAACATTAAACAGATAAGAAATCTATGGCTTACAGAAATTGTTTAATTTGTCCAAAGGTCCCTACTTAGTAAGTGGTAGAATCAGAATTCAATCCCAGTTTTTATTTCGCATGTTTTCTTTTCTACTGATACTCACTCTTTGTATTCTTTTCTTTTTCTTTTTTTTTTTTTTTTTTTTTTTTTTTTTTTTTTTTTTTTTTTTTTTTTTTTTTTGTTTTTGGAGATGGAGTTTTGCTCTTTGTTGCCCAGGCTGCAGTGCAGTGGTGCTATCTTGGCTCACTACAACCTCCACCTCCCGGGTTCAAGCAATTCTCCTGCCTCAGCCTCCCAAGTAGCTGGGATTACAGGTACCTGCCACCACACCTGGCTAATTTTTGTATTTTTAGTAGAGGTGGGGTTTCACCATGTTGGCCAGGCTGGTCTCAAACTCCTGACTTCAGGTGATCTGCCCTCCTCTGCTCCCAAAGTGCTGGGATTACAGGCATGAGCCACAGCATCCGGCCCACTTTGTATTA